TTTTCCTACTTAAAGCTGTATTTTTTCTTAAGCTCTCCTCCTCAACCTCCACTCCACCCTCAGGTGACTTCCGGCCTGTGTTTGGGCACCCCTAGGCTGAAGCGTCGGGTACGTGGAGTAGGGGCTGTGCTGGCCAGGCTGGGTGGCACTAACAGGAAAAAGGCACAGGCAGGAAAGAGAGAAGGAAAAAAGGGAGAGAGAGAAAGAGGAAGGGAAGTGTGGGGATGAAGAAGAGGGAACCTTGACTCATGAGCAGAGCCCCAGGTGATGTCAGAACACTAAGGCCAGAGTCCTGGCTCTGTTTCTCTCTAGCTGTGTGGCCTTGCACAACTCGCTTGACCTCTCTGGGTCTCTTCTGTGAAGTATGATTAGTAAGACAGCTATTTCTAACATTGTCATAAGACTCATAGGAAATAATAAGCCAAAGGTGCTTTGTAAGCAGTATGGAAAGAGCTGTGTCACTCTAAGGGCCCGAGCAGGCTACAGGCCCAAGCAGAGTTGGGGTACCTGGCCATTCCCGGGTGGCCCCTGATGCACAGCCCAAGCCTCCACTCTCAGTTCTTGCTATGAAAGTGAAAAGGCATCTAAACTCTACTGGGCAGTCCATCTGGATTTCCTAGGCTCTTTTTCATCAGTTTTCTCTTCTGCATGTGGACAGAGAGCCTTCAGGGGCTGACAAAAACTAAGGGTCAGAGAGGAGCAGCCCCCAAATCAAGTTAGGGTACCAGCTCCTCACACAGCAGCCAGCTCTGGCCGGAAGTTCACATTCCGATGGGCCCTTGTCTGCCTCTAAACCTCATGTTGACCCCAGACTCACCCTCCGTTTCTAGAACTCTCTGTGCTCCATCCCGCCTCAAGGCCCTTGTCCAGGCCAGATCCCAGCACCTGGTACAGTGTGTTTTATCTAATGGGTTCTCAATAAATATTGTTTGAACCAATGGACCCAAGAATCTTGAATCATTTCCCCCGGATATCTGAACTCTGGGATGATTTAATATCAGACAGGGAAGTGAGTAGAGAAGCAAGAGTTTTGGTTTTCCGAATTCCCCACTTCTTCTATTTGGGGGAAGAGATAGTGGCAGGGCTCGGGGGGACAGTGCATGGGGCACTACCAGAGGGTGATTTTCAGGGGCCCCATGGATCCCATTTTGTGGTTGGTCTGTTTCTTCATGTTGCCTTCCGGAAAAGGGAAACTTCGACTGCCCAGAAAAGCTTCTTTGTTAATAGTTTCAGCCGGCTCACTGATGGAGCCCCAGGTTACAAAGCACTGGCTACATTCAAAATCTCTTTCTGTGTTTACTATAAATTGGTGTCAGGGAGAGAGAGAGCCTGAATGAGGAGGCAGAAGGTATTTGGCCAGGGGAGAGGGAAAAGTTGGAGGAAATGGTTTTGCAAAGCACACACAGCTCTTCTGACTTAGAGGCAAGGACTTAAACATAAAGCATTATTAAATAACTCAACTCTGCAACTTGTTTATTGCTCAAAAATATAGCCAGGGTGGTGAGAGAACTTTCCGTGGTTCTCCTCGGGGCTGTTTATAATGGGTGGGAATGGAAGGCAGGCAGGAGGAGCTGGACTATCACGGGCAGGGATGCCTGTCCTGCATCCCTCGTGTTAGCACCTAGCATCAGGGGAGCCACAAATACGTGAGGAGTGAATGAATTCAGGGAAAATAACCAGAGCTGGAAGGTGCCAGAGAGATCCCAGAGTTGGGAATTCTAGCCCTGCTTAAATTAAAATGGGGAAAAGAAAGTTTCCCAGGATTTTAGTGCATTCATAAATCATACAGACAAGCTGTGTCTGTGTGTGTGTGTGTGTTGTGGAAAGTGCCTGATCATGGATCTTAGTTTTCCAGCGAGACTGCCAGCTATTTTTTCTTCTCTAGGAGAAACACTTCTTTGTTTAGAGAAATTTGACTGAGGCAGTAGAAGCAGCCACTCATTGTAAAGAGGCATTCATTGTCCTGAAGGAAGAGAGGAAAGAAGCTTTGGTGGCCAAAGAGAAAGGCTGCCCCTCCGAACAACCCCTTGCTATGCAGAGCTGGACACAGGGGAAGAAATGGACCAGACGTTTGTGAAAGGACCCAGAGACCTCCTAAGAGGAGAGGAATTGAGACCCTTTCTTTTGAGTCCAAAATTATTAGACACTTTCCCAAAGTCTGAAGAGATTCCAAGTGGCTTGGTGGCCTGAGTTCCAAGTCTGGGCTGAGAAGTCAGGGGGTAAGGACTGAGGTGGGAAAACCTTCTGGAACCCTCCATGTGGATGCACTGGTCATGTTTTGAGGGCAGTGGCCAAACCTGCGAGTTTAAACTGATTATAACTGCAACCTTGGGAGCCCAAGGATGGCACCGTGGCCAAGACTAGAGGTGGCATGGTTAGAGCAAGGAGCAGGGAACAGCTTTGGGTGGTGGGAGGTCAGCTATCCAGTCACCCTCAGGGACAGTGATGAAATCAGTGGCAGCCAAGAGCCCTGGCCACTGATCGGTGAGTCAGATCACCCAACTCTCACTTTGCTTGAAATTTAGCAGTAGGATTTATCAGCTGGACCAAATATGTCCCCAAGGCTCTTGGACAATACGAGGAGGTTGGGAGGGGGCCTTTAAGCATAAACTATTATGTTTCCTCCTAATCTGAACAACTTGGGGCTCCAGAGATTAACCGAATATAGTAAAAGAGATATAAACCACTCATGCCTTGAGATAACAAAAAAGATCATGTCAGTTACAAGCACATAATTGCTTTATCGTGGACACTTCACTGCTCCAGCCCATCGTGTGCCTACTTTCTTTTCCCCACTCCACTCCCAGTGCAGTTAGGATGTACCAATAGCCCGTTACACAATTCTGATTTCATGACTGTGACAAACATTAATTTTAAGTATTTGCTGAATGCCTTCTAGAACTTGTGCGCAGTTCATGATGTGTGCTTTACGATTCATTAAACCGCGTGAGTCTAACAGGAGTAC